TGTCCACAAAACCAGCCCTTCAGAGAGTTCTTGAAGCAACACAAAGAGCTGAAGAAAAGAATGACTATACTCAAGGGGTAACAGAAAGAAACTTAATGAAGGTGTAACTGTGGAAACGCACAGTTACACCAAGAATGTGAACAGAAATCTAAACTGCAGGAATCAATACACATCTTCCTTAACAACTTTAAATATCAATGGACTGAACTCCCTAGTCAAAAGACACAGACCAGTTGAACTGATTAAGAAACAAAACCCATCTGTTTGTTGTCTGCAAGAAACTCATCTCACTTTCAAGGACAGGCACTACCTTAAGGTGAAAGGATGGAAAAAAAATATTCCAAGCAAATGGTACTAAAAAATAAAAATAAAAAACAGCAGGAGTTGCAATGCTAATATCTGACAAAACAGACTTCAAACTAAAACTAGTAAGAGATAAAGAGGGCCACTTCATTCTGATCAAAGGAACAATAAACCAAGAAGATATTACAATCATGAACACATATTCACCAAACTCTGGTGCACCCAACTTCATAAAAACAGTACTACAGGACTTTAAGACCCAGATTAATCCCAACTCATTAATAGCAGGGGACTTCAATACCCCATTGTCTTCATTAGATAGATCAACAGGACAGGGAATTAACAGAGAGACATCTGAATTAAACAATACCATACATCAAAAGGACCGAATAGACATTTACTAAATATTCCACCCAAGCACCAAAGAATATACTTTCTGTTAAGTGCCCCAAGGAACTTTCTCCAAAATCGACCACATACTGGGGCACAAAACAAGCTTCAACAAGTACAAAAAGACTGAAATAATTCCATGCATTCTATCAGACCACAATGCAATAAAGCTTAAAATCAACAGCGGAAAAAATCCTGGTAACTACATGAACACATGGAGATTAAACAACATACTCCCGAATGATGAACGGGTCAAAAGAGAAATTAAGAAAGAAATAAAAGTATTCCTTGATGTATATGCAAAGCATTTCTTATCAAAATGTAGATGTAGACTTTCAATATAATTCAAAAATAAAGTAATAAACCTCTAAAAAAAAAAGTATTCCTGGAACTAAATGAAAAGGACAATACAACACAACAAAACCTATGGGACACGTTGAAAGCAGTACTTAGAGGGAACTGTATAGCTCTAAGTGCCTACATTAAAAAATCAGAAAGAACACAAATAAATGACTTAACATTGCAACTCAAGACACTTGAAAAGCAACAACAAATGAAACCCAAATCCAGCACACAAGAAAAAAATAACAAAAATCAGAGCAGAAATTAATGAAATAGAAACAAAGAATACAATGCAAAGAATCAACGAATCCAAGAGGTGGTTCCTTGAAAAGATAAACAAGATTGACAGACCTTTACCTTAGTTAACCAAAATAAGGAAAGAGCACTTTCAAATCAACAAAATCAGAGATGAAAAGGGAAACATCACAACAGACACCAGAAAAATACAGAACATTAAGGGAATACTTTAAAAACCTATATGCTAGCCAGGCATGGTGTTGCACGCCTTTAATCCCAGCACTAGGGAGGCGGAGGCAGAGGCAGGCTGATCTCTGTGAATTCAAGGCCAGTCTGGTCTACATAGTGAGTTCCAGGACAGCTGGGGCTACAGGGAGACCCTGTCTCAAAAAGACCAAAAAAAAACCCAAACAAGCAAACGAAAAAAAAAAAAAAACAGAGGGAATCATATTAGTCCAACAACCTACCGACAAATTACATATACAACTATTTCAGGGAACAAACTATATGTCCAGTCAAGGTTTATCTGAGAACGTTTGATTTTTGCCCAAGCTTTATCTACATAGCACATGGTAAAAGTACCAGACAGGTGGAACTAACCTTATTGGATGTTAAATAGCCATACTTTGAGGCCTGTACTAATCTGGTCAGAGGGACTTAAAGGACAGTTTTTGCTCCTTGCCCTCCAAGGTCAACTAAGTTCCAGGTAAGTATGGAACATCTCTCAAAATGTTCTGTAACTGTGGTGAGTCACCTGTCCTCTTGAGACTCCACCAGATGGACCTGAACCAGTGTCCAGTCTACAAAGAGGAGGGTCAACAGAGGAAACATTTCCTCCATGCTTCCAAGTGAAGCCAGCCACAGTTGAGCAGTACTTTTGACTTATCTTCACATAGATGGAACTGGTAAAAGAAAGGAGCCAGGGTTCCTCCCAAGCCCATGTGACCCCTGAGGTACAGATCCTCAAATGACCTTAAGTGTGAAAATAAATTGGTTTATTTGGGCCAGTTGTTTGGTCTTAAACACCCAAAAGGAAAGTATAACCAAAGATTAACGTGATCAGTATATTTCTTTAAGAGTCCATGTGTATAACTAAAGGCTACATAACAAGAAACAATGCCAGACAGGAGATATCTTCCTTTGAGTTGTTGACCAGTGTGGCCCAAGAGGCTCCCAGACAGTAACCTAGAATAGAACTGGTAAAATCAACAGCAGACCCCAGTCTTATCTAAAATAATGTTGGCAACTGATTGCTGCTAGATGAGGAAGAGCTGATCGTCCTTAAACTAGGAATTCTAGATAGGCTGACTCGACTCAGTGGATGGACTAGCACTGGGGAATGTCTGCTGGCCCTGACAACACACTGATTAGTAACAGGAATGACAGAATATATGGGCTCCAGTAAGGGGCAGGCTATAGGAGGGTGCCATTTGAGATGCCGGGATAAAGATGAATAAGATTGTTTGGGATGTTCTATATGAAATACACATAGAAAAAAAGCAATAAAAAAATCAACATCTTTAGTCATCAGGGAAATGCAAATTAAAAACATTTTGAGATTTCATCTTATTCTACTCAGAATGTCTAAGATTTAAAACAAAACAAAACAAAACAAAAAAACCCTACAAATGCTGTTGAGGATGTGGGGAAAGGGAAACTCACCCACTGCTGAGAGTGCAAAATAATGCTGCCACTAAGGAAAGCACTGTGGAAATTCTTCAAAAAGCTAGAAATTAATCTATCATATGATCCAGTCACACTACTCCTGGGCATCTACCCAAAAGACTCTATATCCTACTACAAAGATACCTGGTCAGCCATGCTCATTGCTGCCCTTTCCACAATAGCCAGGAAATGGAAACAATTTAGATGTCCATCAACTGATAAATCATGAAATTTGCAGGTAATTGGATGGAACTAGACACAATCATCCTGTGTGAGGCAACCCAGACCCAGAAAGACAAATGTCACATGTGCCTACTCATAGCTTGATGCTAGCTTTAAATTCTTAGATATGTATATTTCAATTGGAAAATCCAGAGAGGTCAGGAAACTAGTAAATGACTATGGGGCAGGGAGAGGCTTCATGGGAGGGAAAATAGAGGAGAAATAAAGGGGGAAAGGGGACCAATAGAGTAGGAAGGGTTCATGGGGTAGGGAATGGGTCCCATAGACCCTCATACAATAATGTCTATTGCCCCTACTCTTGGTGACCCAGTAGAACCTGACTGTAAGGCCCTATTGCTGAAGACACTACATACATGAGCTATAGAACAAACAAGGAAAAATCAAGTTGGTACTGACTTCGAAGCTTCATCTCTGCAAGGTGCTATGCATGCTAGTGGAAGAAAAAAAGTAATCATCAACCTTACCCAGCTGTGAATGTGAACTACAACCGAACTGGCAAAATATGCCCACTGATGAAATAGCAGCATGACTATTATGGGAATAACTAGCCACTTTCAAATTGGATTTAAGGTCCACTTCATTAAGATGGAGCCCAGACCTGACATCAATATTAGGCCTAGGAACATGTGGTAAGACTGGTCACAATGGGGAGAGCCTAATACCATTATTATGCTAAATAGATATAATATTAAACTGACTTCTAATGACTTATTGTTTTAAGCATAGATTAATGCATTTCTCATCTCGCCCAAGAGAAACTTCCCTATGCAGTAGGTGGTAATTAACTCAGACACCCACAATTGGCCAACGTGCAGACAATAAGAGGCTGTAGAATGCTTATCCTGAATAGGAAACTTATATCTACCTATATCAAACTTCTGCCTTCCAAGGTTCAGGGATCATTACCAAAGAAGCAGGAACAGTTTGAGACAGAGGTGGAGGATGAGCACAAGGAAACAGAGTTTTCCAGACAGCTGGTCAGTTGCTCATATAAATTCACAGCAATAGTGCCAGCATGTGCAAGTCCCACGTAAGCTCAAGCCAGACAAAAGTCCAACACAGACAAAGGGAAGTAGATAAGAAACTCCAACCCTACCTGAGGAACTATCGGCGACCAATAGCTACTGAGAGAGGGAGAGTCAGTTTTATTAAGTGTGTGACTCTTGGTAGCTTAGCCAAGCTCCAGTGACTGAATCCACACTGAAGGGCATTTGGGGCACAAATTTGACTCTATAGGCATATACATACATTTTATATGTGTGCATATATATATATATACACATATACATATACATATATATAGAGAGAGAAAGTGAGAGAGACAGAACATGAAATTGGGCAGGGGGCAGGAGGGGGTGCAAATAGGGGAGGGTATCTAAATATGATTAAAATATATTGCATGAAGTTTGCAAAAATTCAATTAAGAATTAATTAATTAAGGGCTGGAGAGATGGCTCAGTGGTTAAGGGGACTGGCTGCTCTTGCAGAAGACCCAGGTTCAAATTCTAGAACCCCCACAGTGGTTAACAACCATCTGTAACTCCAGTTCCAGGGGATCCAACACACCCTTCTGACCTTCACGGGCATTGCAGGACATGGGTACACTTACATACATGTAGACATAACATTCATACACATAAAATAAAAATAAAATATATTTTAAAAAGAATTAATTATAAAAAGAACCAAGTATGCATGTTGGGAGGAACCCTGTCCAGCACCTGCCCACCAGCACTCTTCAAAACGACTTTCAGTCATTACTGTTCAGTTAGGCAAAGGAAATGGAAACATTCCTTAGAAGCTGGAGAGGTTCCACTTACCTTTTCTTTTCTTTCTGGAATGTCCTGGTCCTGGTTACTGGCAGTTTTTTTGCCCTTGTTATGCACATTTGGGATGACCTACCAACACAAAGGAATGAGAAGAGGAGGAAATATCAGCAAGCTCAAGTGACTTATTTCTAAACTCAGCAAGAAGTCACAGCTATAATCCAAGAACTTGGGAGTCTGAGGCAGGATGATTGAAAGAACCAGAGAAGCCTGAATAGAGTAAGCTCAGGGCCAGCCTGGGATACATAGCCAGGGGCCCTGTCTAAAAGCAAAACAAAACAAAACACCTCCACAAATGTCTCCCCTCCCTCCCTCCACCTTCCTGGTATTTTGTGGTTAAGGTGGTAGTGTTTGTTTTTCTCATTATGAATCTCAGGTTGGCCTGAAACTTGCTATATAGCCTTGGCTACTCTAATTCATCATCTTCCCAAACTGGGATCACAAGCAAGTGCCCTGGAGGTGAACACCACGCACTTAGTTTTGTTACATTCCTCTGTTTGCTGTTATTCTGCAGTGCTGCTCAGGTCAGGTTTACTGAGCAGTCTCCAGCCCTTCTTACTAAAGCAAAGAATTAATGAACTTGGTGACTTCATCTCAATGGCAAACAGGTGAGACATTTAATTTAAGGCAATCAATAAACTAGATAATGTTGACAAAATACCCAACTGTAAAATATTATAAAATTATATCTGTATCAGAGCATAGAAACTGAAGATTTCTGTGTAAGGCTCCATAATGCGAGGTTGAAGAAGACTAAAAAGTTACAACACTGCTATCCAAATGTATGAGTAAAACAGTTTCAGTGGTGCCCTAAGTTAAAGGTTAGAGGAACCTTCATCTACTTGAGCTGTACTCTCAACTAGAGTGTGCTACCTAGTAGACTGTGCACACTTAATAATGACCTCACTGTTACTGATACCATAAGGAAATCACAAATTTCTTTCGACTTTTGAATGTGAGTAGGAATTCAGTGATATTCTTCATAATATCTGTAGTCCTGGAAAGGGTCTGATACACAGTTGCATTCAGTAAGTATTTATAAATGAATGAAGTTCATAATAACAATTTAAATTTTTTACAATATACATTTTATTGAATTTTTGTGCATTTCATATAATACATCTTAATCATATTTAGACCACTCCTGCCCTATCTGCACCCCCCCAATAGGATTTCATGCAGTCTGTCATATATATTGAGTCAAGTTTGTGTCCGTGGATGTCCCTTGGCGTGAGTTCATCCACTGGAGCCTGGTCAGCCTATCAAGTATCACTCTCTAAAAGATCAACTCTCCCTCACCCAGCAGTGATGAGCTGCCAAAAGTTTTTTAGCTAAGGTTAGATCTTCTTACCCATTTCCCCAGTCCTGTGCTGGGTTTTTGTCTGGTTCGAGTTTGCACGGGCCTTGTAACCCATTTCCCCAGTCCTGTGCTGGGTTTTTGTCTGGTTCGAGTTTGCACGGGCCTTGTAATTCTTTTTTTTTCTTTTTCTCTTTTTTTGAGACAGGGTCTCCATGTAGGCCCAGCTGGCCTCAAACTCGCTATGTAGACCAGGCTGGCCTCAAACTCACAGAGATACACCTGCCTCTGCCTCCCAAGCACTGGGATTAAAGGTGTGTGCTATGCCCAGCTGTAAATCTTTTTTTTTTTTAAATTGTATTTATTTTTATTTTATGTGTATGAGTGCTTTGCCTGCATGCATGTAAGTGTACCTCTGGCATGCAATGCCCATGGGGGTCAGAAAAGAGTGTCAGATCCCTGGAACTGGAGTTATAGATGGTGTTAGTCATTATATGGGTGCTAGTAACCCAACCTGGGTCCTCTACAAGAACAGCCAGTGCACTTAAACACTGGGCCATCTCTGCAGCCCTGGGTCTTATAATTCTTAATGATGCTAATAGTAGTTTACTTATTTCATTTGATTGAATGAATTTTGAGACAGAGTCTCACTCATTGGTCTAAGACTACTTGGAACTGTATAATAGCCCAGGCTTGCCTTAAACCTCCTGCCTCCAATGTATTGGTGAGCCACCATGCCGAGCTAAAGGTATACAGTGGCTGGCATCAAATTTGTGATGCTTCACCCTTTTCTATTTCTTTTTCTTCACGTAAAATATGTTTCATTGTTTTTTTAAAAGGGTTCAGGGTTTTGTTTAAAATCAGGCTGCACATCTTTCATCAGTCTGACATCCCTCTCACCATGCCAAAACTGGCTTCAGGTAGTAATACTTCAGTAAATCCAAAAGGGAAAAAATGTTTTAATTTTGGAAAAAAAAAAAATCCAGTTCTGAGAACAATTAATTTTGGTATTATTTAAAACAAAATGAGGGCTGTTTCGTGTTGGTTTATACAGCCTCCTCCTCACACCTTTTCTACTTCTTAAATCATTTCTTTCTGTAAAGTTAATCTATGAAACATCTTAGGAAAATATAATATTTTAGTGACGTTTCTCTAGTCCTGGGGATTGAACCTAGATTCTCGCCTATTCTAGGCAAGCACACTACCACTAAGCTACATTCCTAGCCACTGGTAATTTCTTAAAGACTTTTCAAATGGCAAATACAAGTAGTTTGGGCATAAAATCTGATGTTAGACATGAATGGGAAAAAAAAAATACAATTTTTTCAGACAATTAAAAAAACCTGTGGAGCTAAGAGAAGGGTGTCAGATCCTCTGGAGCTGGAGTTACAGGAAGTTCTGAGTTGCCCAACATGGTTGCTGGGAACTGAACTTAGACTGTTTACATGAGCAGCAAGCACTCTTAACTGCTAAGCTATCTCTCCACCCCAGTAAAAACTTAACATCTTACCAAAGCTTCCCATTCAAACACTGCTGGTGCTCTGAATTCACATCTTACTCAACACACAGAACAACATGCCAGAGTGCAAAGGTTGGTGGGCCTATAGGCACGCATTTCCTGTCCTAAAGAATCTTAAAACAAAATGATGGGGGGGGGGGGGTTTACTCATTCCCATGGAAAAACTAGCTGAAGACAAAAAGTAGAAGCTTTGGAATGATACAGACTCTCTTATAAGGTTTATGATTTTGCACAGTAGAGAAATACTTCGGCATACACTATCATCAGCAAAACTACAATAGGGGCTGGAGACATAACTCAGCAGTTATAGCTGTTCTTGCAGAGGACCTAGGTTCAGTTCCCTGCACCCACATGGCAGTTAACAACTGCCCATTAACACCCAACTGGCAGTTAACTCCAGTTCCAGGGGATCCAACACCCTCTTCTGACCTCCAAGGGCACTGCACAACACGGATGCACTTGCATGCCTACAGACAATATACTCATAAAAAATAAAATAAAAACTAAATAAAATGCTCACCAAAAAGACTACCTGTTTTAGGAAAATAGAAGACTACATAGCTCATGTGAAAATGAAAAATACATTTATAATGATTAATATGGAAAATGTGCATGTAGCAAAAGAAAGGCACCATTATAAAGCTGTGCTTATTAATACGGAAGTACAACTGGGATATAGGAAGAAAGGGAACAACACATCAGGCTGTTCTGGGGAGCTCAGAGGGGTCTCAGACACAGCTGTCTTCAGAAAGTGTTTATAAATGAACGAGGCTTAAGAGACGGCTCCAATTTCAAGAGGGTTTTGTGGGTTTTTTTTGGAGGTAGGAGTATATGAAGAAAACACACGTGATGTTGCCATGAAAAATAGTTATGTTATTACATGGAAAAAATGACCTTGGCATAGAAACTTTCCAGAGAGGAACTCAGTGTGAATCATGAGCTCTGCTCTCAAACAGTTGTCAAGTAAAGTAAGTGCTGAAAACACGCTGAGAACTTGGAGTTTCAGAAAGGTGGTGGGTTTGTGATGCTCCCGACATGGCACACATGTGTCATGGTTCATATCACGCAGCTAGTAGTGTTGATGAGAATTTTTGCTGCATCAAAACACTTTTAGATACTGGTCCTCTGAACTGCACAACACTAGAAAATGACTTCTTTGGAAATGTAGTGTGAACTGGTCAAAATGTTTAAGGTAGCTGGGTAAGATAGCCTGTGCCTATAGACCTAGCTACTTGGAAGGCAGAAGGATTGTGAGTTTGAGGCTAGACAACTGAGTAAGACTCTGTCCTAAATAAAAATTAGGGCTGCATATGGAGGTGAGTGTTAGGGTCTAAGGACCTGGGTTTGATCCCCAGAATTGGAAATTGATTTTAAAAGTTAAAATTAAATTTGGAAGGGCTGACAATGTAGCTCAGGGATACAGTGCTCATCTATCATTCATGAAAGCCATGATTTCTTATGTTTGAACTGCAAAATAGATAAATGAAGTTGTGATTGTACTGTCTGGGTTTTCTATACCAACAGCACGCTTTGCAAAGACAAAACATGGTCCATTTCATTGCATCATCCAGCATCAGCAGGAATCACTTTGTACTGATCCAGGGTTAAAAATGAATCAAGTCACAGACCTACTAATTAACAAAATCAGTTAGCACACATCCATGGCTAGAGCCACAGACTACAGTGTGGCAGCTTGCTCTGCTCAGGGTTACAACCGACAAGACCATGCAGGTGAAGAGATGTTCCTGTTTTCACAGCTGAAAGAAATTTGTAGTGTTCATGTCACCCATGCAAACTTCTACTTCAGATCAGATTACTAGCAAAGATTATTGAAAGCTCAGCACTTTCGGCTGAATTTATAACTGATTTAAATCCTTTAAATATTTTTCAGCAGGGCATTCAAGTTTGGCCATTTAATAAATAATTTGATTGACTCATTTTTACTCAAAATTGTTTCTTTGGAAGTTTCATTTGGCAAAGAACAGTCTGGCCAAAATTATTGAATGCAGTTCCTAGAAATAAAAGTGATGGCCTCAACTATATTCTCAATACTATATAATAGAGTTCGAAAATTGGTCTCCAAAAAAACCTAACTGAATTTCAAATTCTATGAAACAGAGAATTTTATGCAGTTTATCCCTCTCAATCAGTCTTGCTAGTATAAGCACAGGACTGAGAATGGAAGGCCACCGTACTGCAGTGCACTGCAACACAGCAAGGCAGCTCTATGGGGCTGAGGCTGTGGCCAATATGAGACTGGCCTCCAGTATGCAAAGTATCTCATCAAAGCCTCAGCACTAGGGCAGTCAGTTATACAATCATCCAGTTTTCCACGTAAGTATCATTAGCTGTATGCCTTGAAAGACTTTATTACAATACCCAGGAGCAAGTAATACTGCTATTTATGCAATTTTTCTATTGTTCAGATGTACCCATGTTTTGAACAGCTGTCTTCATAATAAATGAAATAATGGGGGCTTCCAATGGGGGCTGGAGAGATGGCTTAGTGGTTAAGAGTGCTGACTGATCTTGCAGAGGACGCGGGTTCAATTCCCAGCACCCACATGGTGGCTCCGAACCATCCTTAACTCCAGTTCCAGGGGAATCTGAAGCCTTCTTCTGACCTCCACGGCATTGGATGACACAGGTGCACTCACACACATGCAGGCAATACACTCATACACATTAAAAAAAAAGAAAATATTTTAAAAAATAATGCTTCCAGCTATAGATTTAACACACACATATATATCCTGCCACTGACACCTTTTTGTCAGTGTTCAGGGTTCTAATTCCACAACGAATGAGTTGTTAATTATGAAAGAGAAAATTCACAGCTAAAGAGGTCTATTTCTCAATTCAAATCTGCAACAGTAGATACAACAAAACATCATTGTCAATATGTGCATATTCACATGCTTTGAATATGCCTAACACCTGATGGCCCCTCTGGAATGTTTTTATAACTCACCCCCTTTACATTCAAAGTTTTTCAGAAACAACATAACTGGCTCAGAAAAGTAAAGAAGCTTGTCTGCACGTTAGCAAAGCTAACAAGCACAGAGTGTAAGAACTGAACACAGGTCTGTTCAATTTCATAACTTAAACCAACGTAAACTGTCACGAGTCAACTTTGGCTGGTACATCAACATTGGTGCTAAAATATAGAAATTGAAGGGAAAAGCTAAATCTGAATGAAGCCAACATTTTTTCCTATAATAGTATAACTAAGTGATAATGAAAATAAACGGAAAATACTTGGAGGTAAGAGTTTAATGCACGATTATAAAGAATGCTGTTAAATAGGAAGTAGCGCTCACCCTTGGAGTGGATGACAAGCTCTGGACCACGAACACCACAGGATTTCCTGCATTCTTGATGGCTTCAACGGCCTCTGCATGCGAGGCATTCTGCAGGTCTATGCCTGACACCTGAAACACAGAGGATGCATTCTGATTTGAAAGGCACCAGATACCGTGGGTAGGTTAACTCAAGTTCATGTATATCATCCTGTGTATGAGAAAAACCAGAGCCTAACAACCATTTAGATACAGGCAGGGGCTAGAAATGACTGGCCCATAAAATGCTCTGTTGGTACAGAAGAGTGTGTTTAGGGAAAATAATGTTTCACCCTTGGGAAAAGCAAAGATGGCAGACATATTACAACTGTCCTCTTTTAATATAATGATCCCAGACTAGAAGCAGATAATGCATCATTCTACAAAGATCACTGTGAAATGGAAGGTCACTACATGTAACAGGCATAATCTTAAGTGGGAGTGAGGAGTGGGGAATCTTTCTGGACTTTTACTGTCTCTCTATTGAACTGAAAGCAATATTTAAATAAACTGCCCATTATTGCAATTCAGAAACTGAGTATTTCTCAAATTGGGCTAAAAAAGAAGTGTCCAAACATCCATAGGGTCTTTTATGAAAAGTGTTCAATGTTGAACAAATTTTGGATAACTGTAAAAGAGGTCCTAATTTCAGTAACTGAGAGAACCTAACTTAATAGCATGCCCATAAATGTCTAAGTATCTCTGCGATTACCACAAAGATTTTATAGAACAGGTTTCAAATCTGTAACGGAACAAACCGTTAATTGTTGGGGTGGTCAGTGGAGAAGCAGTTGTGACAAGTGTTTTGCTTTCAAGGAAGCAAGAACAGGCATGTAGGTTTGAAATGCAGGTGAGAGCTTCCATAACAGGTTTCTGTACTGTGAAATGGGCATTGTTGACAATGAAACTTGGGGACAATGAAGCTCTGATACACTCTAACAAAAAAAATAGTCATAAATTTTCCTCAGCTTTAGAATTGGAATCCAGAAACTCATCTATTTACACGGATGAAGGCCCATTATTGAAAAAAGAAAAACTCTAACTCCTTAAAGAAATTCTTTTAATGTATCTAAATCCTTCACGTCAGTGCTTTGAGATATCTGTTTTATAACATACAGAACAAATAAAACAAATAAAATTAAAACTTTATAATACTTATCACAGGAAAAGAGCAAGCAAATGATTTGTCATACTTGACACAATGTACACTAAAATGTAATCTTTGAATCAGCTGTGATTTAAAAAAAGATAAATGATTAAATCTGAGACAAAACCATAGGTTCTTGTTACTATATATAAAATGAGTGTGAGAATATTTTAAATTTAAATGGCAATAAAAACATGCAAGGTGCAAAAACTCCTCCATATTTTATTATTTATTTATCTAAAGATTTATTTATTTATTTATTTTATTATTATTATTTTTTTTGGTCTTGGGTCTCCCTGTAGCTCCAAGCTGTTCTGGAACTCAGTATGTAGACCAGGCTGGCCTTGAACTCACAGAGATCCTGTGTGTGTGTGTGTGTGTGTGTGTGTGTGTCTGTGTCTGTGTCTGTGTGTGTCTGTGACACATGTGCCCAAGTGCCCTCAGAGGCTACAAGAGGGAGTTGAAGTCCCTGGAGCTGGAGCTAGAGTCGTGAGTCACCCATCGTGGGTGCTGAGAACCACACATGGGTCCTCTGGAAGAGCAGCCATAAGCACTCTTGACTGCTAAAGCATCTTTTCAGCCCCCAAACCCCCAACTTAAAAGATAAAACAACACCATAAGAAAGCAAGTAGAAGGCATGCAAACACATTTCAGTGGAGAGGAGAGGCTCACGGGTCCAAATGAAAACTAACAACATCACCATACTAGGTGAGAATGTAGAGAAACTGGATCATTTACAGTTATAAGAATGCAAAATGGGGTGGGGGGGTTGGAGAGATGGCTCAGAAGTTAAGAGCCCTTAACTGCAAGCTACTCTTGTAGAAGATCCAGGTTCAATTCCCAGCACCTGTATGGTGGCTGTCTGTAACCAATTTCAAGTGACCTGACGCCCTCTTCTGACCTCCACAGGCATTGCATGACACAGGTACATTTATATACATGCAGGTAATGCACTCATACACATAAAATAAAAATAATAAATATTTTTAAAAGAATATAAAATGGCTCAGCCACTCTGGAAAGTAATTTCATAGCTCTATACAAACTTTAATGGATTTAGGTAGATGATGGCTTTATTTGTAATCACTCATGACAGCAGGTGGATGGCTACAGGAAGGCCCATGCCATGGAACATGAGTGCATAATGTGAATGTCTGAATCCCCAAAGCTCTTCACTGAAACTCTAACCCATGGTCAAAGTGTGGGCAGGAGGAGGAGCCTTTTGGACTTAATTAGGTCACGGTGACTTGGCCCTTCAGGAGGATATCAGAACAGAGAAGGGGAGACAGCTGTTCCTTCCTGCCATTCTGTAAGGACAGAGAAGGTGACACTATGACCCAAGCAAGTCCTCAGCCAACACCAGATCTCCCAGTGCCTTGACATTATGATCTTCCGGCTTCTAGAACTCAGATAAATTTCTACTGTTTATAGCATTTTGTTAGAGCAACTGCAATACTCTGAGATAATACTCTGAGATCAACAGATGAACTACAGATCTACACAAAAATATTCAGAGACACAAATACACAGGGGACTGCAGGTGTAACTGGTGAGATCTGCAACACTCCATAGACTGTGCCAGTGTCAGTCTCCTGGTGCTGCATTAGTTCTATCAGATATTAATCCTGGAGGCCACCAAGGACGGTGCATGAAACTTCCTAGTACATTTCCTCATGATAGCCAATGAAATGATGATCATCTCAAAGGAGAAAGTTAAGGGAAGACAGAAATAAAATTTTTTTAAAAACTATACTGAGTTTGATATTGCATAACTGCATTAATTCAACAGTGAACCTAAAAATTTCATAGCCACTTTTGAAAGAGATGTATCTTTTCTCTGGAAACTGCTATTGAGTATG